TTATAAATACCTTATATTTAAATATTATATATTTAAAAATTACCAATAAACAAATTTGAGTTCATAAATTTTAATATATTTTTATTAAATATTTACGTTTTTTTTTAAATTTATTAAATTACCTAACTTTTTAGCAATATTAATTCTAGGCTATCTTTCTTTATAAAGTAAGATATTTATTGGTGAAACCAATAAATATCTTACTTTATTTATTGGTGGAACAAAAAGATCATAACACAGATTGTTGGTAGGCAAAACAAATTGAAACGTTTGGTACAGTACAGTTAAAGTTTTGTTTACTTTTAAAGATGTGGCAAAAAAAAAAAAACCTACTCCAAATTGGCAAACCATAAATCAAAATATATTATATGACAAACCATAAATTTGTTAAATACTACAGTTAATGTGAAAAATATCAATAATTTATCTTATACAACTTTTTTTCAAAAGAAAATGACTTAATAATTTTCAGCAAATAGTGGTCCCAAAGTAATGCATGGTAAAAAATTAGTAATACGCATGGTACTAATTTTCTGTAATGTAAAAACAAATATAGCAAATATGTCACCGTTACATCCGTAACTTAATATTTTTCTAAAAACTCGTAAATCCATAGGTCATAAAATAAATCTTTTCTTCCAACTGACTGCAGTCACCAAATTGAAAGCGACACTTTTGTCTTTCACCGCCGGAAGAAATAAAGAAAATACTCATATTTGTTTTTAAATTAAAAAGCAGTTTAAATGTTAGTAAATTTTAATTTTTTACATATTAAATGTTAGTAATTTAAATTTAGTGTAAATATTAAAATTTGACTTCAAGTTTGCGTTTTTATTTTCTATTTTAAGTGACAAAAAAACAACAGATAAAATAAATCCATTTATAGGTTGACGAAGAGGTGCTACACCAGACCCCTCTATGCTGACAAAAAAAAAACAAACGATACTTACAAAACAGCAATTGAGTCTCAAATTTACTTTGTTATGCTGTTTTTCAAGGGATTCACCAATCGAGATAGGGAAAGTGCGTTCCATGGGACACCAACTCTATTTGAAAAAAAATTGTTGTTCTTCACAATTTCGTACTAGCTGATCAGCTTTTTGTACTAGCTGGTCAGCTTGCGGAATTCACAGGCACAGAATGTTTTTAAATTATAACCAAGTAGAGAATGATCCTACTTAAATATAAATTTTTAGCAAAAAGCGTTCTAGATATAAGCCATGTGAAATGACATAATAGAAAAAAACATATCAATTAGGCGTCAACTTCTACAATCAACTATCATAAAAAAAAGCTCAATGAAGCTGTAGATAAATTCAAAAAAAATCTATTCTGAAAAAGTAGCACCAGGACAAGTAGGCCAATTAATGAAGGTTATGGAAGACTCAACACAACCATTACCAGTTATTCCAGATGATTTGCTACTGCTTCATAAAGCTTATCAAAACACTCAAACGTTAAATCAAAAAGTACATTTAATCCGCGTTACCACCACTACTAAATTATTCAAAAGAATATCTCATGAAAACTTTTAAATGTAAAATTAAAGTATTTATTTTAAAAACACTTGATTTTTTTTTTATTCTTGAAAAAATAGTTAACTATTTTAGGTACACAATTGATTCGGCAAGCAAAGAAAGGAAATAGTAGCACTTACATTTAAACGAAACAAGAATTTAACTTGTCAAAAAATGAATATAGACCTTGCAGAACAAATTATATATTTACATCAGGACTTATTCAAATCAGGATATAAACCGATGGACATCAAGAGGTGCATTTTTTATTGACATGCCTTTCTGGTATGTCATTTCATTGACATACCAGAAAGGTATGTCAATGAAATGACATACCAGATTAACTGCTTTTTTTAAAAAGATAACAATAGTCCTTCATTTCTATGATATCTTAAGTCTTTCAGATTCTGGTGGAGCGGTGGAGGAGGGGGGAGGCATCCCCCTCCCCTCCCATCCAACTCCTTCCTTATTCGTAACTGAAAACGTTATTTTATATTTGTAAGATAAAAGGCATTCGCCTTTTAAGATATGTTTATAAATAGATACAAAAACTAAAGATCATGTTATGTTTGCAAAAGTGCTGTTGCCAAGAGGTACAATATCGCATAAATTAACGCCGCAAAATAATTGTGTGTCCAGGATATTAAGAAAGGAATTTTTTTTTTGTGATAAAACTACTTTTGTCTTCTTTTTGCACGGGGCTGGGATTGAATTTTTCAGGGCAACTAAATAATTTTACAGGGTAATAAAAAGAATTTTCTCCAATGCAAAATAAATTTACTTGGTCGGGATCCCCGGCCATGTAAATATTTATTTATATACTTTGTTAATGTAAGAATATTTAAACGGCAAAAAATATATATTTATATATATATAACAAAAAAAATACTGTTGTTGTTGGCATTAAGAGTGCTGTTGTTTTTTTTTAAGAGGTTATATTTGAAAGTGCTTTTGTGACTTATATAAAAAAGACTAACAAATAC